TTTGTTGTTGTTGTTGTTGTTCAGTCGCACAGTCGAGTCCGACCCTTTGCGACCCCATGGACCAGATCACGCCAGGCCCTCCTGTCTTCCGCCGTCCTCTGAAGTTTTCCGCCATCCTCCTGTCTTCTGCCGCCCCTGTGTTAGACTTTCCAAATTACCCCTTGGAAGTCTGCTACCTGCAACCCTGGTCAGGTGTTCTATAATGGTAAAACTAGGCCTCGGTTCAAATCCGCATTCCGCATAAACTTTGCTGGATTTCCTTGGGCCGGTCACTTTGACCTGACCTACTTCCCATGATTGTTGGGAGCGTGGGAAGAACCATTTATTTATTTATACTTTCGCATGGTGGGCAGGGTCAGGGTGGCTTACAACAAGTGTGTGCTCTTGGCTCCTTGGGGGATGGGTGGATGCAGACAGGACTCATTTTGTCTTTAAGAGCCAAGGCTGCAGCTGGAATCTGCCTCACTCACCTCTTGGCAGCTCCCAGGCTGGGAAATTCCTGGCAATTTGGGGGTGGAGTTTGGGGAAGGACCTCAGCAGGGTATAATGCAGTTGAGAAACAGACTGTCCTTTGACACACACACACCCCTCAGTGACATACAGCTCTCTCCCCACAGATCTTGCCGCTCGTGTAAGGACTGGGGCTGCCAGTTAATTAGTAGTGACTAAGCATCTAGCTCGTAATTGATCCACTGAGGGCTAAATTAAATTCTAAGTCTGCCAGAACTTCAGCACGGGAGCCATTTTGAGAAAATGAAAGGAACAGAATAATTTCTCTTCAGAATAATTTCTCACAGATCAGTAAATGAGAAGGACCAGAACTGCTAAGACCGACGTGCCAGATTTACTATTGTTATATTGTCAACATTTGGGAGCAAGGAAAATGCTCTTCTTACCATAAAAGGGTAAAGGTTCCCTTGCTCGAACTCGAAAGCCAGTCGAATCCGACTCTAGGGTTGCGGTGCTCATCTCTGTTTCAAAGCCGAAGAGCCAGCGCTGTCCGAAGACGTTTCCGTGGTCATGTGGCCGGCATGCCGAAACACCAAGGCGCACGGAACGCTGTAACATAAAAATTGAATAGGGCTCCGAAGACATTTCCGTGGTCATGTGGCCGGCATGACGAAACACCAAGGCGCACAGAACGCTGTAACATAAAAATTGAATAGGGCTACTCGTCCCAGGCTGGGGAACTGCCGGCGATTGGAGGTTGGAGCCTGAGGAGGGGAGGTTACGTCAGCGGGGTATAAGGGCATAGAGCCCATCTTTCGAAACGCTCATTTTCTCCAGGGGAACTGATCTCTGTTGTCTGGAGGTGAGTTGTAATTTTTTTGGGGGGCGGGTAATCTCCAGGCCTCACCTGGAAGCTGGCAACCCTGGGGCAGTTGGAGCATCAGATTACCCTAGGACTGAGAAGAGCCGAGTTCAAATGATAAATCTTCCATAAACCTCACTTGGGGATCTTGGTCAAAGCCTAGGGATGCATGAATGGTCCATGAAATGAGGTTTGTTAAAGGTAAAGGTAAAGGGTTCCCTTGCTCAAAAGCCAGTCGAATCCGACTCTAGGGTTGCGGTGCTCATCTCCGTTTCAAAGCCGAAGAGCCAGCGCTGTCCGAAGACGTTTCCATGGTCATGTGGCCGGCATGACTAAACACCAAGGCGCACGGAAGGCTGTTACCTTCCCACCGAAGCGGTCCCTATTTATCTACTTGCAATTTCTTGCTTTTGAACTGCTAGGTTGGCAGGAGCTGGAACTAGAGACAGGAGCTCACTCCGTCTTGCGGCACCCGGGTCTCGAACTGCTGAACTACTGACCTTCCACAGCCTGCAGTTCAGCGTCTTAACCACTTGAGCCACCGCAGGTTTGTTAGCAGGCACCAAACCGGGATTTCAAAACAGTTTGTGTGAGTGGTGGTTTGCTGTAATGTCTGAACTCACAAACAACAGTTTAAGCAGTGCCTCCCTTTGCAGCCTCCCCCCTGCCCGCGCAATGCATCATGATGGCATCTTTTGGAAAGGAGGAGGAGGAGATCGGATTTATACCCCGCCCTTCGTTTGGAATCTCAGAGCAGTTTACAATCTCCTTCCCTTCCTCTCCCCCCAACAGGCACCCTGTGAGGTAGGTCTGACAAGGAGCCACTGTGTATACCATCTCTGCATCACTGTTTGAGTGATCATTCTATTGCACCAGTGCCCCAGTCCAAAAGGCCATGCTTTGGGGGAAGGGGAGAGGCTCAGCGGAAGGCCTCATGCAGAAGGTCTCAGATTCAATTCCTGGCATCTCCCCCTGCTGGCAGGCAGATTGATGCCGCTCGCCTTTCATCTGACTGCCGGCGGCAGCGCTCGGGGAGGGGAGGCGAGGAGGAGGAGGCTTTTGGCACCCCTAAGGGCCAGCACGCTCTAGGCAAATGCCTACTTTGCCTAGTGAGCAAGCCAGCCCTGCCTCTAGTTAGAAAGGACCAGGTTGAAGGTGATGTGAAAGATCTTTCCCTGAGACCCTGGAGAGCTGCCGCGGGTCTGAGTGTACAAGACCGACCTTGATGGACCCCAAGGGTCTGATTCAGTCCACAGCAGCTTCATGTATGCATGGGTACATATATGAAGCTCATACATACATGAGCTGCCAACCCAGGGTTCAGAAGCTCCCTCCCCCAATCAGCTCTCCTCAGAGGACATCGGCAGAAAGGCGGTCCTTTTGGTGCGTGGGCCCCCCAGATTTGGGGAGATCTGGGCCCAAATCCCAATTCCCCCCTGATGCTTGTCTGCGATGATCCTGAGCCAATCACTCTCTCTGAGCTTAACCTCCCTCGCAGGGCTGTTGGTGGCAACC